AGGGGCGTCCCCACGGATCCCGCTCCAGTGTCTCCAGCATCTCGCGGCGGGCCTCGCTCTTGGCCCGCTTTATCGCTGCCTGAAGGGTCCTCTTGGCAACCCCGTAACCCGCTAACAGCTCCGCCTCTCTCGCTGCCGCATCTTCGGGGCGGCGACGCCTCCTGCGGAACCTGGACCACTGGCGGCGCGCGGTCACGCAGGCTTGACGCAGCCGTGCGATCTCCGGCGACCACCAGTAGACCTGGCGCCTTGCAGTATTGGGCTGAGCCCTAGGCATCGCCGCATCGCAGACGCGGGTCATGGCCTCCCGGAACCACTGTGCTTCAGCATCGACGTCGACAGGCCTGTCCGGCGCAGGAGCCCAGGCCTGTACGATGGCGGCTTCCAGGAGGAGGTCGCGATCTAAGCGCTTGAGCGCCCAACGTGGTTCAGGTGGTGCCGGTCTGACCGGCGCGCCATCTGCAGGGGCGGAGACGTCAAACCGAATATATCGGTGATCCGAACCTGTCTCCTCCCCGACAACGACGCGCCAGCCTTGGACACGACGCGCTAGCGAGGGGCATGCGAACGAGATGTCCACGATCGAACTACCCCTCGCCGTCACGAACGTGGCCACGGCCCCCCGGTTTAGGAGAACTAGGCCGAATCTTTCAGCCCAGTTCTCCAATGCCCTGCCCCTCGGGTTCGTGCGCAGGGAACCCCAAGCCTGCGACCAGGCGTTGAAGTCCCCCAGCACAAGAACCGGGTGGGGGCGACAGGCATCGACGACGACGGCCAGCTGAGCGAGCCATTGCTCGTACTCAGTGAGGTTTCGGTTCGGCGTGAAATAAGCGGCCACGACCGCTATATCTCCAACTATCGCCGCTACACAGCCCCGTCCCCTTGCAACTACTGCAAGAGGTGGAGTGCCGGCTGCGGTACCGTGCACCAGGGCCGCCGTGCCGTCCAAGTCGGTCTCCCAGGCAGGCCCGAGAAACCGATGGACATATGGCTCGGCGATAGCGGCGATGTTGATGGACCACTGTGCCATGCTCTGGAGCAGAAGATCCTGAGCATCGGCACCGTGGCCTACGTTCACCTGGAGGATGCGGAGATGTGGATCCATCACTGGACTTCCATCCCCGCATCCCGCAGCGAACTTTGCGGCTGTCCAGCGGCACTCTCCGTCTGGATCAGCGGCTCGGAGGCGGAAGGTCGGCCTCCCGGCTTCGGTCGCGATAGGGCACAGGCCTTACCACCAACCCGGTGGTCGGAAGGCTTGCCCCCCGCTGCGCACCTAAAGCAACGCAGCGGAGCGTTGCAGCCACCCGCCTTGTGACCGGGCTGGCCACAGCGGAAGCATCGGTCACCTACGGTGGCCTCCGCCGTGCAGTGCACCCCTACGTGACCCACCGACAGGCACCTGAAGCACCTTGCCGGTCGGGCCTGCAGGAGCCGTGCCTGCGCCCTCAGGAAACCTCCGACCAGGAGGCTCCGTCCATCGGCGACCTTCTGGGCCGCCGCGATGGGGCAGCTGACAACCGCTGCCCCCTGTCCACCGGGGCCGAAGCGTATTGCTCCGGCCTTCACGCTGTCCAGAGGGCAGCTTCCCGTCTCCGCCACGGCGAGTCTGAGCTCGTCCGCCGTGACAGAGTCGTCCAGGCCCGTAATGCGAACTTCTGCGCATTTAGTGGGTCTGGACACTCGGACGTCAGCTGCATCCAGTGACTCCCTCAGCTTAGCCGCTAGGGCGTCGGCTTTGGGGCCACTGGTAGCGCCGGCGACCTCGAGGAGCCGGGCTCCCGTCCGTGTGTTTTTACACCGGACGCCCGGAATCTCGAGGGCTTTGAGGTCCACGTTGGCCTTGACTTTCGTCAAGACCTCGGCGTACCCCACGCCCCTCTCCGCTGCCTCCGCCGTCAAAGTGATAACGACGGCCGAGGAGCGAGGGGCGCGGAGCTTCCTCGGCGCTCCCTTCGCGGCGGCGGCGGCGTCCCTCCTCGCCTTCTTGGCCGCTTTTTTGGCGGCCTTCCGCCTCTTTTTGTTGTCCCCGGCCACCGTCCAGCCCCGCTCCAACGAGCGCTGTGCGGTGTCAGCCGGGGCCGAGACTGGGGCTTGGGTTGGGGCCGCCTTCCCCCTCCCTTTGCCCTTTCCGGTCTTCTGGGGCGGGGGCGCTGATGACGGCCCAGCCACCCTAGCTGCTGGCTGGGCTGTTAGGCCCGCCCTGGCAGCGGCCGCATAGGTTGCCCTTGGCGGAGCCAGAGGTGGGCGACAACGGGCGCTCTCTATTGCGGAGATGCGCCTCATTATACGCTCCTCCATCTCCGCCACGAGTCGGACTAAGTCCGGCTCCTTACGGGCGGACAACGCCACAGGTGCCGAAGACGCTGGTGTGGCACCAGCGTGGGCACGAGCCTTGGCGAGATCTGCCTCGAGGCGGGCTCTCTCTCTAGCGTGGGCCTTGCTCTCGGCCACTAGGAGTCGTCCCGCCTCGATGATGGAGCGCACGACCGCTACCAGGGCCTCCTGTTCGGGACCCCTGGCTACCCCGGACGTCTGGAGCAGGCAATCGGCCACGCCGATTGCCTCCTCGATCTGGTCCACGGGGTTGCCGGTTTTGCCTCGTAGCTCAACGAGGCCAGCACCCCCACCCCCGCTCCCCACATCAGTGGTCGACATCTCGGACGCGACCCCCTCCTGTTTTCTGCGTCCAAGACCCCCATCTTCGGCTCCTCCCAGAGCCGCGGACTGGACCGCCACCTTCTTTCGGGCCACCATGGCCTTGGGGAGTCGGCCTCCGCCGCGAGCGCCTCTGCGGCTTGTGCCGACTTTGGGAGCCGAGGCTTCATCGCTCGAGGCCGACTCCAATTGCCTCTTCAGGCCCAGGCGAAGCGAGCGCCTTTTGCGCTTTGGAGTACCCTTCTGGTGCTGCTCCACAGCTGAGACCATAGGGGTACTCGCTCCGCTCCTCTCCGAGGCAGTGTCGGTGTTCGACACTACCTCCAGGTTTCTCGCGTTCTCCGCGATAACGTCGCCGGATTTACTGCTCGGCGACGGGCAGGTTTGACATTTGGTGCTCCCCCCAGAATACGAGTGGGAGCTGCCGGAGCCGTTTGGCTCCGGGAGGGATTCCCCAGACACTGTGTGCCCGGTACCCTCCTGGGTAGATTTCTCTATACTTGGCCTCATGTCATTTTTTTAAGTTTTACGTCCTTCGACGGGGACGCCTTCGGCACTGGACTCCCTCCAGCGACTCAGCCCCTTGCCAGGCGTCAGAACGTGGGCTTAGAGCATTTTTTATAGAGGATTACGTCCTCGCGGATCCGAAGATCCACCGGTCCTGTCCATTCAGGATTACGGCTGGGCCGGACGGGGTCTGCACCAGACCGGGTCCGTCCGCCCCAGGGTTTTTTATAGAGGTTGCCTTCCTCGTAGCCCTCGAAGAGCCGTCATTCCTGACTGTTGCCAGTCAGGGTTACGACATGGCCGGACGGTGGTCTGCGTCAGACCAGTGTCCACCACCTCTGGACAGAGCCAGCGGCAGTGGACCCGTCCGCCCCCAGCCCGCTCTCCCCTATGCCCTCTGCCAAACAGAGGGACATGCGGAAAGCAGCCCTCCGAACAGCCCTTGACGGGCCGTTCCCACCTCGGCCGGAATTGGCCGCAGGCGGCAGCGCCTCCCCCACCTAGGGAGAGAGGCGCTGCCGTCTCCGTTGCCCAGGGTGCACCACTAGGAGGTTCCGGACCACGCACCCCATGTAGTTGTACCTAAGTATTATTCTTGTATGCATAGGCTGACAGATAGTATATTTAACAGTGAAAGTTCACTATAAGCTGAATATCTTTGCCTCGAACTTAAATTTGTATCTAATTGGTAATGTTTGTAAATACATGATATGAATATTTTTGTACTGCTTAAAAAAATATTCATATCATGTATTTACAAACATTACTTACATTATTTACTTGTTAAAAAAAACATTAGTGATTACGTAAATATCATAGGATCATATTGTTCATAATTCAGATCATGACATCTGAAAAAGGTAATATATAAAAGTTAACTTTGTTTAAGTTAATACTAAGAAATTAATACCTCACCTAGACTATCAGTTAAGTAACTAGAGTACCAATTATTGATGGAGTCAAAAGGATTAAATAAGTTAATTTTATTTCTTTTTACTTCTGTTAAATTATAATAATAATAATAATAATAAATGTTTAATTCTCCCTCATTACAATATAAACAGATGTACAATGTTATCATAACACAATAGTGGGAGACCGGTTTCCAAACTAAGTAAAATACCTGTGTTATGGATAACCGGGCTTCCATCCGCGAAAAAACATGTATAAACTGTACAAAGTTGACACTTAAAATTTAAGATAATATTACAAAGAGAAAAAAAAAAAAACAGAAAAGAGACAAAACGATTGAAAGTTAACAGTCTGAATCCTAATGACCACCTTTAAGTGTGATTTTATTATTTTTATTTTATTTATATAATTTACCTTCATCTGAAAGTACGTCCTGCTAAAGTCTGTGATAACCTGATTTCAGATTTAACTGCATAGCGTATATCCAATCTAACCTCTATGTCAAGAGCCTGCACGTTAGATAACATAATTAAATTTAACCCAGTTTGTGACCGAATCCTGTTTATATCTTATTCCATTAGCCTTTAGAGCAACAAACTCGTAGAAAATAATGATATCGCAAAGCTGGTTAAAGGTTGCCTTTCAGCTTTGCGATATCATTATTTGATATGTGTGTTTGTTATTGTATATCTGTGTGTATTTTTATTACAAGATTGATTTAAAGTGATTAGGCAAACTTCAAGGCCCAGGAGGGCCAAGCTTACGGCGGTTTAAATATAAGTGAACCCAAAATTATATCGAACGTCAAAATTACTCCTATTTCTCAAGGATTCTACTAATTGTTCGCAAAATGGATTTAATTGAAGTTTGCCTAATCACTTTAAATAACAATAAGCGTTTAACTATAAGCGTGCATTACTTACTTGCCATATTCATCCTTTGAGAAAGTAGGTTTCTGGTTCTTGTCAAAATGTCCGCTGAAGGCTGTCACTTTTTGTAGGTCACTGTGTGTTTGAGCTTTTGTGTCAAAAGCAGATATTAGGTCTGTTAGAGATGAACTCTGTTGACAAAAAAATAAATATAATTTTTTTCAAGTTCAATTCAAAGTTTGTTAATACCTTGAATCAAGAATAAATTTAGCTGTTGCAATTGCATTGTTTTAAGGACTTCGAGTCAAACAGTGCAATTACTGATTATGTCAAAGGAATTTAAATTAAAAACAAAATGTTTTTTTTTAATATCAACAATAATATTGGATACATACACGTTTCTGTCGAAAAATACATATTTTGTGATTCCATTTTATTTTCGACAAACTATGAAATAATTGTTTTTTATGGGATTTGTTAAATCGGTTACTCCTTCGAGCGCTAGACTGGAAATAGACATTTAAAAGTCTTCTCCAATTTTCTTAGAATTACAAAGTCAGGTTTATTCTGAATACTTCCACTTAATAATACTAGGAATACTGGCAACTTGTTAGGTACGAGTGTTCTTGTTTGATCCCATACTAAGCTGTTTCTAAGAACGCTCGTATGTTAGTGTACTAGATGGCATTGGAAGCCGCGACCTCCTGGTAGTAGCTCTTGACCTAAATCACTACGTTACCGTCGCTTAAGTTTCAATTAGAATGTTGTATTAGAAAACGTATCTTCAAAAGAGGGAATTTAAAAAAAAAAGTATAACCGATAAATAATAATAATAAATTGACTGTGAATTTGATTCTTTATTGCGATTTTATGGCTCAAGTATTCAACCAAACGTTATAAAACTACATTTGCCTTGATTGAGGCAGAAAAAAAATGCCCAAGTGATTACCTTGTCCAAAAAAAAATACTGCTCCTAAAGGAACAAGTCAAGTTATCGACAAAATCCATACCAAAGCGAAGCCAACGGGCAAAAGCTAGTCACCGTAAAGTAATAATAATAATAATTTAATAAAAAGGTTGTCAACTCTAAAATTGCATTTTTAGTAGTGGGGCGTAGTCCAACTTATTCAATAAAGTTCTGACCATGCTACTAGCTAACAAAAATCCTTTTACTCTTATCCGTGTAAAAAATCAAGGTTTATTATAATTAAATCATTATAAGTTAAAGTTATGGAAATTATAGAAAAATTATATCAATGAGCAGTCGAAAGTATTTTTACTGCAAAATTTGCATTTGCGATTTAATTTCCTGACTCGACGTGACTTTCATCTGACTATAGTAGATAGTATAAATGAAGTACTAATCAAAGTTCTCTTAATAAACTAAAGTTTAAAATATTTCTGTATGATCAAAAGCTCGTCTAATAATAACTTATCGTTACAACTTTTCAAAATCCGAAATTCGATATAAATCAAAAGTTGTGGCTTCGAGCATAGCTTTCTTCAAATAAAAAAAAAGTTAGTTAATCGATTCGAAAGGTGAGACGCAGATAATGGAACATTTCCTACTTTTTTAGGCACTTTAGACGCTTCTTTATTTTCTTGTGGCAGATTGCAGTAGTCATGTTTTAAACGTAAAGAGATCAACAGCCTTTAATAGTCCATCGCTGGACATAGGCCTCTCCTTAGAAAGGAGGTTTTGGCCTACTATACCACGCTGGCCAGACGGGTTGGTATAGGGTTTGTGTCAAGTTTGCCTTCTTTTTGCTCCCGCATTGTTTTGCGCCCTTAGTCGGCTCTTACGACACCCACGGGATGAAATGGGGTAGTGACATTCTGTATTCTTAATCCGTCACTACACGGACAAACGTAAAGTGATGATTTATGAATTATAGGTTTTAAAATGGGACCAGCTAAGTGCACATTGTGCAACAGATATTACAGCATAAAGTTACTGAAAAAATTGCTCTTTATACGTATATTGTAGTTAATAGGATACAAATTTATGAAATATTTATTTGTTTTGAAATTATGAAGAATTTAAAAGTTTTTACAAAGTAAGCTAAGTAAGGTTTGTTGGAAACGAACGGACTAAACCCACATAGCTTGTCACTCTGTGCCTTAAACAGGAAAGCTCCGAGGACAACTGTTATTAGGACATCCGGACCCTTCCCATGACCTGCCTGCATTAATCCGATTACTATAGCACAGGCTCTGCCTAGTTTGTGAAGTTATTATAGTTATAGTAGTAGTGTTACATCGGTTGACATTGCAGACACCAATTATGATGAAAAGTGGTTACCGATACCAAAAAACAAACTCGACCCAACTCTATAAGCGAAATAAAACATTTCATTTTTTTTAATCTTAAGATTTAGTATAAAGCTAAACTCTAGAAACATGTATGTGGCAAAGACATACGTCTAAATATAAACTACAAACACAACTAAACAGTTTCAGCAATAACTTGAAAGTTACAGACAAATGTCTTATTCTAACAGATAAACTTAAACTTACAGTTTTATGTTATTATGGTAGGGAAGTTTCTAAAATATGTAGAATACAATTCTCTAATGATATTTCTAAGTAGTAACATAGGTAAGAGCGTCTATAATAAGTATTACTAGCTTTTTGGAACATTTCTAGGCAACAACACTTTTTTTTCTAGATAAAAAGTGACATTGTAACATTTTTTGTACCACTTGCAACGTGTTAATAAAATTTTAAATACAGTAGTTGAAGAGATAAGACCTGAAAGCTCAGTAATAAACAGATTCATATTCTCATTTTTTATATTAGTTAAAACTACGAACTCGTACTGAAGTTTTATACGTGGATCTTAAGAATGCTCTTGGGAATGAGTGAATACTAAGAGACCAACTAAAATACTTTAAAATATTCTTTAAGGAAATGGAATGTTTCTACAAGGATGTCACTGATTAATTAAATATTTATTTTATAACTTATTTATTAGTTATTACGTCCTGTATAAACAATATTATCATTAATGAACTAAACTAAACTAAACTAAACAGAACCGAGCTAATCCTCTTTATTCGAGTGTAGATTCATCCCCAATTATACTCTTAAGAAGGTCAATGGTCTCTTTTAAATTGTAATGACTGACCTAATTTCCACTCTTATTGAAATTAAAAGAGTCTAAATGTTCTTCACTTCCGCTTAGCCGCAGATTAGCTAGTTGTAAAGAGCCAAAGTGTGGGTACTTGTTAAATTAAATAATCATATTAAATAAACTTTATCGTCGGACCCCGTCATTGTTTTTAATTAATGTACTTTCTTATCATTTTAAACAATGTGCTAATGGTTATGGTATTTGGTCACTGGGATTTATGATTATTACGGCAGCGAGTGCCTAGTGTACTGGTAGCTATTGTGTTAAATAACCCTTTTTCTAACCACGTGAACGAAGTTCGTCGAAACTGGAACGTTATTAAGCTTGGAGGATCTTTTCAGTATAGCAATACACACGAGGGTAGTTGTCATAGGATGCGGTCGCTTTGTGTCGTAAAGTGTCTAGTCAGTGATACCAGGGTGCTAAGTACTTCCATAAAATTTATACGTATAATCGAGTTTCAATAAAATTGGACTTCTTACTACTAAATGTTAATAGAAATATGTTGAATTCAACACAAAGTAGGACGACAATAATGACGTGTATTTGGTTACGTTTTAATGGAAAATAATGTGTTTTTCACTCTCTATTTTCATAGTTACTAGGGTCGTCATTTTTTACAACCGCTGATGAGCCATGATACGGTTTTTGACCCAAATACCTCAGAATTGGATACAGCGCTGTAAGGCTTTGTCTCTGTAAGCTGTGTACTCGTATTTAAAAAATGGTCTTTATTTTGTTGCTGTAAAGCTTGTAGATAATTGAATACTTTCTAGATAACAACTACAGTATATAACCTTGTTAATGTTTATGTGGATAGTCTTATATGTGAATACATATCAGGGGACTATAAAAATTCGAGAAAACTGCCAAATACTTGATTTAATATATAAGCGCGTATCTACCACGTTCAAAATGGGTTTTAGTTCTGAAAGGACAAAGTAACAAGCAACATATCATCATCATCATCATCAGCCTATCACAGTCCACTGCTGGATATAGGCTCCCCAATTGCACATCAAGCAACGCATCAGTACATGGAAATTCAAGCTGACTACATCCAGGCGCAGAAATACTAAAAGTAACATAAGAAAATCAGTTACATGTATTTTTATTAATCATAAAATCTTTGCGGTGTTAAATGCATTAATAAAACAGCTGGTAATGTGTTATAATTTAATGAAACGACTTGGCAGTGTATTTCGTTTTAAAATAAATGGTCTGATCAACTTTGCCTGTCTTCGACAACGGAGCATTGTGTTCTACGTACATTATTATTAGTACGAATGATGCATCTATTTAAAAATTTCTTTGCCGTTCAAATATAAGTAATATTAGCAAATTCTAAATCTCTGATCCGATAAAGTATTACTAAGTATTGAGAAAACAATAAAATAAAAGTTTTATGCAGGGCAACCCTAAGCTAGTTTTATAAGTTGTCATACTTGATTAGCCTTTTGTAAGAGAACGTGTGTAAAAAGAGAAAAATAGTATTGTGCTAGTAAAGTAAAATTATTGTTAAAAACATTTCTGTGAGAGAAGAATAAAACAAACACTGATTCTCTACAATTTTATTTTAGTTTAATTTTCACTTTAACATAAATGTGCAACACTAAAGTATTACAATGAGCCGAAACTAAGCCTTAGAATATTAATATTGTAAGTAGTTTCGGCCGATTGTAATACCACGACTTAAACTTCGAACTCGAATTAATTACTTATTGCGTACTTAAGTACAGAGTACTTCTACTACTATATCCCTAAATTCAATGTCTGTTTTTCGGCCAACTGATTTAGTTATGCGAAATTCTCGGAAGCAAAAATGTTATAAATTGTCCTTAGCCTTGAGTTTTTATTTTGTGTGTTATGCGTGTTAATGTTTATTTGTTTGGCTAAATGTATAGAAAATATATATTTTGGCAAAAATTTAGACGTCTAGTGCTTGTTTCCAAATGCCAAATTCTCTGCCTACCTAAAGCGTTTCATTATCACGTAAAAGAGCGCCAATGACAATGATGGCAAATTCGCGCACCTTTGCTACAAAGGTGTTGAAGCCTG